GAGCTGGTGGCGGTCACCATGGCAGCGGCGCGGATGATTTTCAATCCTCTGGGGGGCTGGGAAGGGATGGAGGGAAGGGAAGGGGCTGCAGGGGAAGGGCGAGGGCAGACTCCCCTTCCAGCCCTTCCCAGGTGCTGCAGATCAGGCACCACCCAAGGGGCTGGGGAGCCCCCGCTGTCACCCATGTCCTGTTTGGGGCATCTTCGGCACTGGGTGGTTGCAGCCACCTCTGTGAGAGCCCTTGGGTCACTTGGGGGAATGGGGTCAGATCTCCCACAGATGCCGCCATCCCCCACAGTGTCGTGTGCCACTGTCCCCCGCTGTCGGCTGAAGCGGGGCCGGCGGTCCCCGGCCTGGCTTCCTGCTCAGGCACCCTATTCCCAGCAACAAGCGTGGCGGTTGGGGCTGCCGCCCTCTTTGTGTCCCTCTGAATGACGGTTGCCAGGCACTGGGGGATGCTGGTCTGGAGGGCAGCGGCAGTTTTGTTATCGGCAGGGTGGTGGAAGAGGAGGAGGGGGCTGGGGCCAGCACGGGGGATTAGGGGGAGGCTGGGGGCTGTCCCCAGGGCACTCTGATCCCTTCCAAAGAGACCTTTGTTCAAGAGCCTACTGCTCCTGTGAGCTGGCAGCTGCCGGCAGGGATGGGGTTTCCCAGAGCTCCCTGGAGCTGCCCTGCGTCCGGGGGCTCAGCACAGGAATGGCTACGGGCTGGGAGCTGGAGGACCCCTTGTCCTAAGGGTCTTTTGCTGTGGCTCCCATCTCTCTGGCTGCTCCTGCCATCCCCCTCATGTCTGAGGTTTGCCTGGGGTGTTGCTTGGTGCTCCGAGTGAGGGATGCTGCCGGGGCACCCGAATATGTCTGTCTGTCCCCAGCATCTCCTGACGGGGCTGTTAGAGCCCGCCGTGGGGAGAAGCAGGAGGGGTGGGAGATGCGGCGGGTGGCTGCAGCAGCTGGAAGAAGGTCCAGGCACCATTGGGAGGGGTTTGCATGTGTTTGCGTGCTGGGTTGGAACAGGACAGCGTGGCCCCAGCACTCGGCATGTGATCCTGTCCCTCAGCCACCTAACCTCTGTGCCCAAACCAGCCTGCCTGGGTTCCACCACTCCTCCTTCTCACCAGGCTCGTCTGGCAGGAACACAACCTCCTGCTGCCGCTAGCACCCGTGTGATGCCCGGCCTGGGCTCCGGTGGCACATGGGGACCAGCTGTGACACCAAGCTCACGGGTGGAGCTGATGGGGAGATTGGCAAAACTCACTGTACTGGAAACGCTTCGGGAAGATGCTGGTCCCAGGAGCTCTGGGATGTAGACACGAGCATCGTGGGCGGCTCTGCTGCCAAGAGCTGCGCGTGGTGCTGTCGCCGCTGTGGCCATGGCCCTGCTGCAGTGTGCTGTGAGCAATGCTGCCCTGGGCAATGGCACGCCTACGGCTAAACCCTCATCCCCACCCTGGAGCAGCTCTGGGCCGCGGGTGCCTGCAGCAGGGCCAGGGGCAAGTCACCCCAGGGGTGCTGGGGCAGTGGGTGCGCTGCCTGTGCGCCCCGGCCAGGGCTGAGCCAATTGCCTGCTGCACGCCTGAGCCGATTATGGCGCTGATAATAGCCCAGGGGATTAGGGAGCTGTGTTCGCTGTCGCTTTGCGCCCTTATCCTCCTCCTCATCAAAGAGGCCGTGCAGTGCGGGTCTGCTGCCTGCTCGGCGCGAGGTCCCCACGGCCCGGCAGAGCCCCCCGCTGCTGTGCCCTTCAAGGGGTCTGTAGCGCTCATCGCTGCGGTGTGGGCGAGGGGTTCAGCCTGACCTCCCCCATGCCGTGGGGAGAGGGGACGGTGCGGGGGTGCCCGAGGCTTAGCAGGGTTCCTAAGGGTGAGAGGGCCGGGGGGGCTCCTCTGGGAAAGGGCGGCTGAGGCTGCGGGGGAACAGTCCCTGAAAGGCGAAGGGGAATGGTGCGGGGAGGGATTTTGCAGGCAGGCTGGCAGCTGGAGGGGAGGGGGACAGGGGGCTGTGGGACCAGC